TAATACCCGATAATTTCAAATGAGAACTGTAATCTGCTTCAGATCAGATTTTTTCTCTAGTATGGGGTGCTTTAATAGACCCTCGTCCTAACTAAATCTGTGTGTGACTTCTGTCCTACCAAAGCATGGAAAAAGCCCGTTAACTGAAAGGACTTCCATCACCAGTGCTCCAACAGTCTGCACGATACTTGTTCAAAGAAGTCATGTATGGACTCCGGTTGGTTTTGTTTGCTTATTTGTTTTCTCTCCTCTCCCCAATCTTAGTGGACTGGGCTGTGGATCAAGCCCACTTTGCCCTGTTCTTCAACCAAGGGCAGTGCTGCTGTGCTGGATCCCGAACCTATGTCCAAGAAGATATATATCATGAGTTTGTGGAGAGGAGTGTTGAGAAGGCCAAGTCCAGGGTGGTTGGAAACCCGTTTGACTTTAAAACCGAGCAGGGCCCTCAGGTAAGAGCAGGAAATGTCCCAAACTGTTACCTCATGAAATAGTCCCAATCTTGAGACGTTGTGCATCAGTAGATTAGAATGAAAGGTATCCTTCAGTCTCTTGTTTAGTCAGAGTCATAGAATCATAGAATTTGGGTTGGAAGGGACCTTAAAGATTATCCACTGCCACCCCCTGCCCCAGGCAGGGCCACTTCCACCAGCCCAGGTTGCCCAAAGCCCCGTCCAACCTGGCCTTGAACCCTACAGGGAGGGGGCAGCCCCAGCTTCTCTGGGCAGCCTGTGCCAGGGCCTCACCCCCCTCACAGGGGAGAATTTCTGCCTCAGATCTCATCGAAATCTGCCCTTTGTCAGTTTAAAACCGTTGCCCCTCGTCCTATCTCTACTCCCCTGATCCAGAGTCCCTCCCCCCTTCCCTGCAGCCCCTTTCAGCCCTGGGGGCCACTCTAAAGTCTCCCCAAAGCCTTCTCTCCTCCAGCTGAACTCCCCAACTCTCTCAGCCTTTGAACAGTGCCCATTACCTCCTTGCTTGCGCAGGAGAGAGAGAAGTTAATTAACAGTTCTGATTATTCCAAAACCTCTGCCTGATGCTGGCATTTAAAAATTACCATCTCCCTCTGAAGCTGGCTCGGCAGTCTGTTGAGATGAGGAGTTGTTAGAACACAGTCTCCCGCACAGCAGGGTGTAGTCCAATCTTTTTTTACCCCCAGTAAAGGTGAAGCTGATCTGTCTGTCCTCGTGGCTCTTAGGTTGATGAAGAGCAGTTCAAGAAGATCCTCGGTTACATTAGTACTGGGAAGCGTGAAGGAGCCAAACTGCTGTGTGGTGGCAACCCCGCTGCAGACAGAGGCTATTTCATCCAGCCAACTGTCTTTGGCGACGTGCAGGACAACATGACAATTGCCAGAGAGGAGGTGAGACCCTGCAGCGCCTTTCTGTCTGTCAGCTGCTCGCTCCTTCATCGGTTTGCCCGCTCTGATGCAAAAAACCACGGGCCTGCAAGCCCTGGGCACTCATGAACTGCGAAACTTGATGCTTCTTGGAAAGCATCAGCACGTTACGCTTCCCTCCAGATTACATCCTGGGCACTTCGTAATACAAGAAGTGATACTCTGAATTTGACGTGCCGTGTGTCTTTTAGCATACATACATAACTCCAGCATCAATCACAACTCGCTGCCATCAGTTTACACCGATTTTCACATGCTCTGTTTGGATTTTGCAGATATTTGGGCCGGTCATGCAGATTCTGAAATTCAAAACAATCGAGGAAGTCATTGAGAGAGCAAATGACTCCAAGTACGGCCTAGCAGCAGCAGTCTTTACAAAGGATCTTGACAAAGCGAATTATGTGTCACAGGGCCTGCGAGCTGGAACAGTTTGGTGAGCCTCAACACTTCCTTCTCCCTCAACTGCTAGAAACTTCCTTGTGTGCTGCTGTTTCTCGTTGAGCTGCTTTGTCCCTGCTTTGGATCTGATTTTACGGATGATTCACTGACTGTAGTGTCAGACCTTCAACTGTAACACTAACTGTTGGTAAAATTTAGGTATATTAAGCTTCCATGCTCCCACTGTGGATTAATGAACGGGATGGGGAAACAGAAATCCATTACTGCAGCTGGCAACGCAGCAACTGCTGCAGGGCCCTGAGTGCCAGCAGCGATTAGATCTCTGAGCACGTCCGCGGTCTCGGCTGCTGCAGTGGCTGTTCCTCTGTGCTCTGAGGCTGATGCCAAAGGCAGTACTTCATCACTGCTTACTGTTTTAGCACAAGAGATTTGGGAGATTGGGTATCTCACTGTCTCTTTTTTCTTTTTTTTAATGATCCAGAGTGAACAAGTAGGTGCTTTTGATATCTGTCCTCTGAGGGAGGTGTGGGTGCCAACCTGGACGCTTGGTCTTGTGACGATGAGAGACGTGAATCGATTTCATGCAGTTCTGTTTCCAGGTTGACAAGGTTTTAGTATTGATTAATTGACTGAGAGAACTGAGAAATACAGAAATCCTGCCTAGAAATTCGGCCGTCCTTCTGTTGTATACACCCGAGATGTCCATTTGCTGCAGAAGGGCTCTTCCGTTAAGCAGTTTTGAAACTACAGGTGCTTAATTCTTGGTTTCCATTTCAGGATAAACTGCTATGATGTGTTCGGTGCACAAGCCCCCTTTGGTGGCTACAAAGCCTCTGGGAACGGGCGAGAGTTGGGAGAATATGGTCTGGAGGCATATGTAGAGGTGAAAAATGTGAGTATCCCTCTGTCCACGGACTTCCCAACCCTCTGCTGTAGCTCCTATTTGTGCCTGTTGGTATAGGCTGGCCTGAGAGTTGCAATTCTTCCTTCTAAAAACAAAATCAGAGCCACACTTCTGAAAGAAGCACAAACACAATTCCACATAGCTGTATTTAAAACAGAAAGCTGGCTTTGCTTTATACTGCTGTGGAGAACAGGGGGATGTGACCTGACAGGTTACCAGTTGCCTGCACCGCTTGGCACCACTTAGCTCTTTCTCCCTATAAAGAATGCAAGTGTGTGGACTTCTCTGTGAGTTTATTTTGTGGAGAACAGGAAGAGCATGTGCTGGGGGTGCGTGCCTGATGGGTAGAGGCTTCAGGTACGAGCTGGCAGATGAACGCTGGGCACTCAAAAGGGGGAATCTGAGCAGTGACCACCGGTACTTAATGCTGCTCATCTGGAGTCGACAGGCCCCTGGGTCCATGTGCGAGAGCAGAGTCCCTGGTGTTGGGCCATCCCGTCACCACAGGCTGAGTAATTTCCTGTGAGACAAGGCAGAAGGGCTGTCACGCTCTCTGCTTGCAGCTGCAGTGTCTAAAGGGTGACGGAGCTGCCGGGCAGGGGCAGTTTGCCAGCGGCCTCTGAGTTGCAGTGCAGCGAAGCCTGTAACGGTTGAGGGTCCCCAGCTCGTGACCGTGGTACAGGAGAACAAACAAGTGTGTCTGCTGGCACCTCTCAAAGAGCAGTGGAGGTGGTGTGACCCAGCCTTCGAGCTCCCCACCTCTCCTCGAGCCTCCCAGATAGATCTCCAGACCAAGGTCTGGATATACTGTCCTCTGCAAGATGCTGCTGCCTCTCAGCCTTCAAGTGAATATAACTGAATGCTGTCTCCAGGATAATAACATGACTTTTTTTTTTTCCCCCTAGGTGACAATCAAAATTCCACAGAAAAACTCCTAAAGGACAGCAGCCTCTCCATGCGTTTGGAAATAACCTGTGCAGCTTTGAGATACAAAGCAAGGAAACCTCTTCTTAACACACACAAAACGAGGTGGAAAATATGTAACTCTGCGCTAAGAAACGTTTCTGTAGAAGATGCCTGAAGGAGCTTTTGTTTAAAAAATGTTACTCGGCTTTATCTTTTCAAAATACCAAATACAGTCAATTCAGTACTAATGCATTACATGGGTGTGCTCTTGTTGCACCTGTACCTGATGAATATGCTTTTTTTCCAAGAAATTTAAATGCTTTGTGTATCCTGCAGTAGGTTTTATAATAATTTTTGGTTGGCTTACACAGCTCTACACTCCTTGTCCTTTATACCCAACACTACGTCCCTCTCCTGTAAGCAAGGTGAACCGAGACTCAGTTGTGTAACAGAGCAGGAGAGCGACGTCTCCGCCTCGGTCTGAGGTAAAAGTTTGTTCTCGGCTCTGTCTGTTAACAATAAACGTTCTTGCCTTAGTGAAGTTAACGCCACCTTTGTTGGAGCGGTTTGTGTTGGTGAGGCACACACGCAGATTTGTATTTTCTTCCTCGCATCCATCGCCCCCTGCCTCACGCAATTTAATAAAAGTTTTTGCTTTCTTCCCCGCCCGCTTTCCCTGCCTTAACGTTAGGGGAAGGCCTAGACCTGTAACTGCCCCCGGCAAGGCCAGAAGGGCTGCACGCACCACGAGAAGGGGGCGATGAGGGTGGCCGGTGCCTCAGGAGCGTGCTGGGGCTGCGGTGGGCGACGTCTTTTAAGATTAAAAGGATTAAGAGCGGCGCTGAAGGGCAGGTGCGCTGTGCGGGGCCGACGCTCCCCTCCACGGCTGGGGGCGTGAGGCGGCGGCTGCGAGGCGCTTTCCCGCGCTGGCCCGGCCGCGCCCCCTCAAGGCGGCGGCTCCGCCCCCGATCTCGCGAGATTTCGCTGCTCCCACAGGTCTCAGCCCGCTCCCAGATCTCGCGAGATTTCGCGCCGCCCATAGATCTCATCCCGCTCCCAGATCTCGCGAGATTTCGCTCCTCCCACAGATCTCACCCCGCTCCCAGATCTCGCGAGATTTCGCGCCGCCCCCTCTCGTTGTTCCCCGGCAGGGGGCGGGGCCGGGCCGCACAGCTTCGCTTTGCCCCCGCCCTCTTGACGTCATTATAAGGCGCCCGAAATCTCGAAGGTCCGATGGGGGCTTTGATGGCAATGTCGCGCTTTTAGGGGTGTTGGCGGCCGCCTGTAAACCGCGCCGCCGCAGTGGTGGAGGCT